GTATTAATCAGACTCTCCAAAACAATACTGTATAGAAAAGAAATAAAGGATGCACCTTGATTTTCATTCCAGAAAGTCTCAAAATCATGAAATATGTTTCTTCTAGGTTGAATATTCTTTCAAATATGCTTTTTCTGTTCTTAACTTGATACAGAATTATAAACAAAGAATACCAAAATGTATTCAAGACCTTTCCTTATTCGGCTAATGTGGTGGCCCTTAGTAATTGTTCTTTAATGTAAATCAACTTACATTTCTTTTCTTTTTATTTTATCTTTTTTGTTTGTTCGCTTATTTTTGGGCCACACCTGAAAATGCTCAGGTTACTCCTGGCAGTGCTTAGGGGACCATATGGGATGCTCGGGATTGAACCCAGATTGGCTGCATGCAAGGCTAACATCCTATCTGCTGTACTATTGCTTCGGCACCCAATTTACATTTCTTAAAGAATATAAGTGCGAAGTCAGAGAGACAGTATAGCAGATGGGGTGCTTGCCTTGCAGGGGGTAACCCAGGATTAATCTCTTGCCACCCCATACACATGGCCCACTGAACCTGCCAGGAGTGATCTCAGAGCACAGAGCCAGGAGTAATCCCTGAGCACTGCCAGCCATGCCCCCACCCAACCCAATAAATAAATAAATAATTAAAGGTAACAGAGCACCCAAATAATCTACCAACCAAACAGAAGCATATTCTTCTATTCTCTAGAAGAGCTTGTTGGTATCAATATGGCACTTCTTTTGTCATCCTTTAAAGCTATTCTTTCCTCTGTCTTCTAGCTTCTTGTTTTATGAAGAAAATGAGCCCATTTCTGGCAGCATCATAATTGCTCCTTTTTTTTTAAATGTAGGAGTACTGCTATTTATTCAGCCATTAAGCTGATTGACATAACTGCTGTCTTGAAGGTCACAACCATCTTTCCCCTGCTATCCTTAGTAGTTTTTAGGGCACTTTGGTTTGCAGTTATACTCTGCCCCAGGAGTTGTGGTTTTCTAATACTGGGACCATGTTACAGATTCAGGCTGCTTCTTTCATCTGCATCTTAATAGCTCTCAACAAGCTTCAGAGAGGTCTCGGCCACTCTCTTTCCCAAGATAGCTTCTGCTATAGTCTGCCTCTCCTGGCACCTGCACGACCTTACATCACTTTTTGTGGCAGACTGAAGAGAGAAGATAAATCCTTTTAAACTTTATTCCCATTGTCACATGGGGCCGTTGCCCTCTCTTTAGGTGGGTTGTGAGACCCAACTGATCAGCACCTTATGGCAAGGTGGTAATGTAGCAGTGCCCACGCCCCTAGCACCAGAGACCAGAAGCTCCTACACTCCTCTCTCGGAATGCTTGCTCGAGAGGGAGGCAACAGCCCCGTGAAAGGTAGTCTAGGCTCCGGGACTGCCATTTATGGAGAGAAAGAAAGAAAGGCTGGTCAACCCCAGAAATCCAGCCTTCCTGCCTGGCATCAGATATGAGTGAGAAGTCATCTTGAATGGTCCAGCTCCAGGAAATGACATGCAGAGAAGAACGAAGATTCCAAACACATGGTCCTAGTGGGGAGGCTGTTTGAAGCTACTTGGTTACAGATAAAAAAAAAATACTGTGGAGGACAGAGAGATGGAACCTGATATACATGCCAGAATTTCTAACTCTGAATCAAAAGGAAGAAAAAAGTTATTGATTTCTCTAGGTAAGGCTCACTTTTAATTACTGGGGGATGTTTACAATGGGGAAGGGGGCAGGTGCCCCTGTCCATCCGTGCTGAGTGTGCCGAACATGCCTTCCTGGCATCTGTCTTTACTGAGCCATTTCTCAGCACCACGTTTAGCAGCCCAGAGAGAGGATGCTTCTAGAGACAATGAGGCCGAGTGGAGGCCCCCACCTCCTGGCAGTGCCATGAAGTCGAATCTCAACCCTTCACCCTTCCTAGGAGGCACAGCTGATGGAAAATCCGAACGGATTCTATCTTTTCTGTATTTTTACCTTTTTGCTTCCTTGTGCTTCATTCTAAGTGACTTCAGACCGAAGGTCCAAAACACTAATTCTTTCTTCATTTCCGTCTTATTTACTCTTAAAATCTTCTCTAATATGTCCAATTTAGGGCATGGTACTTTTCAGTCTTAAGATTTCTATTTGGTTTCTCACACACACACACACACACACACACACACACACGGTACTTTTCAGTCTTAAGATTTCTATTTGGTTTCTCTCTCTCTCTCTCTCTCTCTCTCACACACACACACACACACACACACACACACACACACACACACACGCTTCTCTGGACCATGGGTTTGGCGATGTAGGGCTCACAGTCTCACAGTTTGCTGCCCAGGGCTGTGATGTGTTGCTGCTGACTCAACAGTGCTCAGGAGTTACCAGGCCATACCCGATGACACTCAGGAGGCCATATGGCACGGGGCACCAAACTAAGGCCTTTCACATGCTAAGCATGTGCTCCTCCACATTCTGCTCTTTACCTGGTTCTTTTTACAGTTTTCAGTTCTCTATTCAAAATCCCTTTTCTGTTTTTGGAGTTGTTTGCTATTTAAATTTTTGGGGGAGGAACTACTTGCAAATCCTTGCACAGGAGTAGCTTCTGGTAATACTCATGGGGCCATGTGGTGTCAGGGAACAAATCTGGGTCACTGGCTCTCAAAGCAGTGTACCTACCCCTCGAGCCATCGCCAGTCCTCTCCTGAAATTCTTCACTTTTATTTCCCACCCCCATCAACAAAATTACAATTGTCTATTTATTTTGGGGGGCTTGAGGACCACACCAGCTGGTTTTCTGGTGATATTCCTGGCTCTGTGCTCAGGAGTAATCCTAGGTAGAGTTCAGGGGACCATATGTGGTGCCAGGGATCGCACGTATCTTGGAGGCATGCAAGGCAATGCCTTATCCCCTGTACATTCTCATTCTCATTTTCTCTCTTCTCCCCCCTGTCTCTCCTTCCTTCTTTCCCTCCCTCCCTCTCTCTCCCTCCCCTACATTTGGTCACATAAAAGCCCTTGTACTATAGTATGTCCATCGTCTGCTGTTGCTCTTCATTTTTGGTCACACTTATTCTTTGATTTTTAATTAAAATATGCATTTAAAATTTTAACTTAGTGCTTGATACAGCATATAAAATTTTAGGAATACTAAAAATAGAATTATAGGGCTTTTATATAATACAAGGGCTTTTAAGTAATCAAATTCAGGGGAGAGAAAGAGAGCGAGAGGGAGGGAAGGAGGAAGGGAGGCAGAGAGAAAGAGAGAGAGAGAGAGAGAGAGAGAGAGAGAGAGAGAGAGGATGTGCAGGGGATAAGGCACTGCCTTGCATGCCTCCAAGCTGGCACCACATACGGTTCCCTGAACTTAGGAATACAACTTAAGCAAGGATGGAAGACCAGAACCGACATGCCAACCGTGGCAACACCCAGTTTTTGTTTTTTAAGGGTTAAGTGTCCATGAGAATTTTAGCTTAGTTTCTCATCCTCCTTTCACACCGTCAGTGCTTTATAGGGAAGTAGTCTGAAATGCCAGGCTTATCTTTTTGCCTCAATAGCCTTCTAATGAATTTCATATTTTATCCAGGATTCCCGATTTTTTTTTAAAGGACTGATAATCAAAATAATTTATCCAAGATTACTGAAAGTGGAATTCCTCCAAAAACAGACAGATCATATTTAAGAACTGCATTTCTTTTTACTTTTTTCCCTTTTCCTATCACGGGCCAGACCTAGACAGAATGGGCTTTCAAAAACTGTCTCTTTGCCAAACATCTGCAAAGGGCGGATGCATTTTTTTTAACACATCAAAAGAAAAAAATTTTTTTTCCACTTGCCACTTTTTGCTGAGGCACCATGATTTACAATCCTGTTTGTAATAGAATTACATGCCTGCAGCATTCCAACACCACACCACCCCTCCAACAGAGAAGAACCCCTTCTGAACTCTGAAGTACCTTTATAAAATGTCACTTCCATGGAAATACTTTATCTGAAGCAATGAAGATAAACCAATTGGAATAAAACAAATTTTCAGTGTCCAAGCGTGGCCCAGCAGCAAATGTACCTGCCATGCCAGGTGATTGTAGGTTTGCACTACGTGCAAATCCTGGGACCACTGGTTCCGCAAAGGAGTTTGTGACCTTTGTCCCACCATACTGGGGGGTGTGAGCACTGCAGCTAAAGTGTGTCAGCTCTGGCCCGCACCACAACTGAAGATGGGTGAGTGCAGGAATGCCACCAGTGAGCATGTGTGCAAGGACCAGAGCTAACGAGTGTGACTCCCAGTGGGTACCTCAGCTAAGTGTGTGAGCATCAAACCAAGACTGTGTGACCCCTGGTCATGGCAACAACAAAGGAAAAGGGGAGAGGGACAAGTCAAGCAATAAAAGAAAGTGTGTAAGTATTTTTAAGTGCCACAGAGACAGCAGAGCAGATAGGGCACTTGCCCTGTGGCATATGTCTCCGTAGCACTTCCAGAAGTAAAAGCCGAGAGCAGAGCTGGGTGTGGTCCAAGAATCAAAAACAATTTGTTTTTTGGCTTTTTACTGGCTCATACCCAGCGATGCACAAGAGGTTACTCCTGGCTCATGCACTCAGGAATTACTCCTGGCGGTGCTCGGGACAACATATGGGATGCTGGGAATCAAACCTGGGTTGACTGCATGCAAGGCAAATGCCCTACCTTCTGTGCTATCACTCCAGCCCCACAAAATTTTTTTTAAAAGTATGTTGAAAGAAAAAAAGTGTGCCAAAGGAATTTTATACTTAAATTAGAAAGGAGAAAAAACTATCACATTTTATATTCTAAAACTTTCCAATTTTATTTTGCTTTAAACATTCACTAATATTATATACAAACAAAGCATCATTTGTCATAACCCAGAGTTTTTAAAACATTCCAAATGTTAGCTTCTAATTCTTTCCCCTTGCAAAATTTTTGTAATTTTATGAAAACTTAAAGAGTTTATTGAACATCTAACAGAAATGTTGTCTGCCAAGACTTACCATGAAAAATACGGAAATCAATATAAGGATGAGACCCTCTTCTCTCTGATTCAAATCCTGCACGACTCCTTACACGTACATCTCCTGGACAGAATCAAGAGTGGAATCTCAGTTTGAAAGGCTGTCATTTGGAAAGATGTTCCCACATGCAACAAAGGCCCACCAGTTTCATTTCCCTAGTGATTCACCAACATTATATAAGAAATAGGTAACTAAGCCTTGCTCGTCAAGCCCGTGTTCTCCCTCAATCATGTATCTTGCTTACTTGTCTCTATGTTTCTTTGCTTGCCTCTGGTGAGCAAAGAAATTTCCTCTCTGGTGACACTTGTAGTCTCTCTTGAACACACATTTCTCCCTTTCTCTTCCCTCACATCTTTCTAAGTCAGTTTTAATAAAACCTATTTTTGCTTTACAAAAAAAAAGAAATAGGTTTGATTTATTTTTGCTTTTTGGTAGGAGTGAGATTTCTGGGGTCACAAATCGTGGTACTCAGGGGTTACTCCTGCTCAATGCTCAGGTGGCCTTGCAAGTGCTCTGAATACAATGCGGGGCTCTAGCAGGCAAACCAGGTATTACACTCCAGCCCTTTGCGCCATCTCCCTGGCCCACAGGAGCTTATTTAGTTAAAGAAGTTTATAAAATTTCAGTACTGACTTTAAGGGCACATGAATTTAAAGAAATTACATCTACCCAATAACCTAATTATCACATTATTATCTAACTTAATGCTAGCCTTCAGAAAGATGACTCCAAGTGTGTGCTAATATCTTATTACTGGCTCCATACAGGAAGTGAAGGGAGGAATTCCGAGCATAATGAGGAGGGTTCATAGACTATCCCTCTAAAAAATGATGAGTAAATTTGCGTACTGGAGTCTCATAGCATGAACTAAAGTTCAAGAGATCAAGGAGAGTGTGGATAAAGAGACAAGTCTAGCAAAGAGCGGAAGAGAATAAGAACGCTACACAAATATTTAATTTGAGTAACAGCTTGAAAATTTGAGAACCAGAACTAGAAAGACAACTGCTTTATACCATTAGCCAACTAGGAGCAAAACACACCCAGTAACAGCACTGATGAGGTAATTCAGAGCCTTATTATATTTGTCTACATCAGCACAGACAATGCTTAGGCAATCAGCAACTCTACAAATCTATGATTTTTTTGTGAATAAACATCGAGGATGCAATTTCACACTCTGCACAAATAACAATCCCAGTTACCAGGAGAGTGTAAAATGCCTCCTTCCTTTATTCATATCATGTTCAGTATTTAGTTTATAGTCAGTAAACCTCAATGTAATACATGATTTCTGCAGCAGTGATGAAAAATATCCAATGAAAGGCACCTTATTCTCAAATAATAGATAAAATATCAAATATTGCTCACCTAGCATACGAATGTACAATGCTGTCTGATCAGAACTGTCATAGGAAATAGCTCCACGTCTCTGGAAAAAAATAAAACACATTTTAATGCATGACAATAAGTAAATGTGATATAAATTTAATTCAGTAACTATATTTATTATGTATAAAGCACAGTATAAAAGAACCTGGAGATTAAAAAAGAAAGTGGATAAACTGCATCTGCTCCTAAAACTTTTAGATGTGAGGAAGACAATGAACTATGATGTAGCTAAGCATTACCACAGGAGAGGAGTAAACAGCAGTCAGGCACTTATCCTGGTGGACAAGTCAAACAAATTCACTTGGGAAAAAGATCTTCTGCATAGAAGAAAACCAGTGGGCTAAGTACTTGCTCCATTTAAACAGAAATCAATAAACAGGCAAACAAGAATTATATGTGGGAAGAAACCCATTCGTAAAAAATAAAGTGAACAAAATGGCACAGAGGCTACAAAGAAATAAGATTAACATTTAAAAGAAAAAGTATACTTGAAGATTTGTGAGAAGACACTGAATCTATTAAACAAAAAAACATGATTCCATTTAGAGATTTAAATATATATTTTGAAATTAAAAACAGACCCAGGGGGCTAGGAGATGGCTCAGTGACCAAGCACGAGGTACTGAGTTCCATTCCTGAGCGTGATTCTGGCACCTCTGCGATTTATGCTCAGCAGCTCTGTGACCCCTGCACAGGACTTCTGGCTGCACCACAGCAGAGTGTGAGTTCCACCACCAAAAGGGGTGCAATCCCTGAGGACCCACAGCTAAGAAGGACACGCGACACTGTGGCCAGGAATGTGATTCCTGGCGATAATGTGTGCCCGTCACCACAGCTAGAGGAATGTGGGCAACAGTTCATGAAAGAGAACAAAAATGTCCAACAAAAATAAAATTCTGATTTCCAATACTGGTTACGCACACAGAGGAAGGAGTAGCAGAGGATTCTTCAATGTCTACCTTCTGAACTTTTGTAGCATGTGTATATTATGTATTCATAAAATAAAAAGTCAAATAATCTATTTTTTTTGCAGGTAGCTATCCAGCTTTCCCAGCACCACTTGTTGAAGAGGCTTTCCTTGTTCCACTTTACATTTCTTGCTCCTTTGCCAAAGATTAAGTGGTCATATATTTGGGGGTCTGTGACAGAATATTTAACTCTATTCCATTGGTCTGCAGGTCTGTTTCTAGCTCAGTATCATGCCTCTAAAGCCAGACACAAAAGTCAGATCAAAGTGGAATAAAGACCTCAATATCAGACATGAATCCATAAGGTACATAGAGGAAAATGTAGGCAGAACTCTCCACGACATTGAAGCTAAAAACATCTTTAAGGATGAAATAGCACTGACCATGCAAGTGGAAGCAAACATAAACAAATGGAACTATATCAAACTAAGAAGCTTCTGCACTTCAAAAGAAACAGTCACCAAAATACAGAAAGAGCCCACAGAATGGGAAAGAATATTTACCCAATACCCACCCCGACCAGGGCTCCGGCAGCCAAAGACCTCCAGGACCAGTCACCACCATGCTGAGACCACTCTCCGCACACATGAAGGTACTGGCAGAGGGACAAAGTCACGCGGGTTCCGGGGCCGAGATCTCCAAGCCTACTCGAATTTGGGCCGAGCATCCTCCACCCAGATCCTCCAAATTCCAGTAGGCGGGGGTCACACCCACCAACTGGCCCCCTGGCGCCGTGTAATCCCATCAACGGCCAAGACTCAGAGACTATAAAAACCAGCTCCTGGAACCGTGTGGCCACATTTGCAGCCGCGTGACATCTTATTATGACATCTTATTACCTCATTCCTACTTTGGACAAACTGGCAGGTTACCAAATGTAGCCTGCCCACATGGCAGCGTCTGGCAAACTCCCCGTGGCATACCCAATATGCCAAATACCAGTAACAATGCTGGGTCTCATTCTCCTAAAGAGCCTTGAATATAATCTCAGGGCTAGGATGAAGGAGACGTTACTGGGGCCTGCTCGAGGCAATCGACGAATAACAGGATGATTTGTGATTTGTGTGATTGTGACCCATCTGATAAGGATTAATATCCAGAATATACAAGACACTAGTAGAACTGTACAAGAAAAAAAGAGATACAAATCAAAACAACAATGAGAAATCGTCTCACCACAGAGACTGGTACACATTCAAAAGAACAAAAACAACCAGTGATGGTATGGATGTGGGAAAAAAGGGACACTCTTTTACTTGTTGCTGGGAATGCCCACTAGTCCAGCCTTTCTGGAAAACAATATGGATAGTCCTTCAAAAACTAGAAATTGAGCTTCCATATGACCCCTCAATACCACTTCTGGGAATATATCTCGAGGATGCAAAAACCACAGAAAAAATGACATCTGTACCTATATGTCCATGCAGCACTGTTCACAATAGCCAAAATCTGGAAACAACCAAGTGCCCTACAACAGATGACTGGTTAAAGAAACTTTGATACATCTACACAATGGAATACTATGCAGCTGTCAGGAGAGATGAAATCATGAACTTCGCTTATAAATGGATAGACATGGAGAGTATCATGCTAAGTGAAATGAGTCAGAAAGAGGGGGACAGACATAGAAGGATTGCACTCATTTGTGGAGTATAAAACAACACAACATGAGGCTGACACCTAAGGATAGTAGATACACAGGACAGATAAGACTGCTCCATAGCTGGAAGCCTGCCTCAGGAGCAAAGGGGAGAAGGCAGCTGGAATAGAGAAGAAATTTACTAAGAAAAAGATGGCTGGAAGAATAGGTCAGGATGGGAGATGTGTGCAGGGAGTAGATAAAAGACCAAACGTGATAACCTCTCAGGGTCTGTATTGCAAACCATAATACCCAAAAGTAGAGAGAGATTGTGGGGAATCATGTCTGCCATGGAGGCAGGGAGAGGGTGGGAAAGGGGGGGTTATACCGGGGATATTGGTGGTGGGGAGTGTGCACTGGTGGAGAGATGGGTGTTTGATCATTGTGTGATTGTAACCTAAACATGAAAGCTTGTAACTATCTCACGGTGATTCAATAAAATTAAAAAAAAAAATCTATGACATAGAAATGTGCAAGAAAGGAAGATCTCAACTACCCCAAGACTAAATGTTTTGTGTAAACTCTATTCTAGAGCAGTCACTATAATCACCAGGTATGAAAAGGCACCACTCACACCTGTTGTTCTAACCCCACCAGGAGACAGTTTATTAGATTACAGGATTCCCTAAAAGGAAAACTTAGGAGCTTTGGAGAGCATGCATACGGAAATAAAGATTTTTTAAATTTGTTTTGGTTTGGGCTACACTTGGTGATGCTCAAGGCTTATTATTCCTGGCTCTGTGCTCAGGAATTACTCCTTGTGCTTGGGGAACAATATGGGATCCCAGGGATCAAAACTGGGTCAGTTGTGTGCAAGGCAAGCATCCTATCCGCTGCACTATCTCTCCAGCTCAGAAGTAAATGTTTTTATGAACCAAATACTAATGAAATTTAAGACATCAACGGCCTGTTATGGTCAATACCTACTACCTGCTAGTTGCCAAATAACAACTTGGATAAAATAATGATAAAACACATATTCACCTGCTCCCTGACAATCTTCTTTTGGAATTGGGGGTTGGGGGAGTTGGGCCACACTCAGCCGTGCTCAGGGCTTACTCCTGCCTCTGTGCTTGCAAGACCATAAGTTGTGCCATGGACTCAGCCCGGGAGAGGCCCTTGCAAGGCAAGCACCTCACTCACCATACTACCTCTCCAGCCACCTGGAACAACATTTTTATAAGTTACAAGACTCCGTATGGGGTCACAGCACATTATTTTAAGAAATAGGGGCAATTATCCTGCATATACGACATAATGAATTTATTTTTAAGGTAACCATCGTAAACTTACTTATAGAAATACTAATTTTGATATTTAAATGGTAAGATTTGTATTAATCACAGAACTTGGCAAGAGTGTAATTTCATTACATTTGTTTCTGGGTCACACCCAGCTGGGTTTGGGGCTTACTCTGCAATTTGGCTTTGCAATCAGGAATCACTCATAGAGGTGCTCAGAGGACCATATGGGATGCCAGGGATCCAACCTGGGTCAGCTGCGTGCAAGGCAATACCTGATGTACTATGGCTCCGGCCCCTCGTATACATATAAGGATGCACAAAATAATGAAGTTATCCTATTCATTATTAAATTAAGTAAATGGGTGTTTGCTTTTATTTTGGAGCAACTAAAACATCAGTAAGTACTAATGGTGATCATTCAAGGACTGGTCACTGAATCCAGGGCTTCACATACAAGGCGAGAGCTCTACTGTCTATGTCCCAGTGCAGAATTTAAGTAAGTTTGGTACATAAATATCTTAAATGTCACACTAAACCATAAGACACAGTTCTTATAAAATAGACCCAAATGAGAGAAAATATTTTAAAAGAACAAACTTTAAAATGTCTTATGTCTGGGGGGGGGGGGGGAGAGAGAGAGAGAGAGAGAGAGAGAGAGAGAGAGAGAGAGAGAAGTTCCTGCCATAGAGGCAGGCGGGGGTGGGGGTTGGGGAGTGATGGGAGGGAAACTAGGGGGACACTGGTGCTGGGAAATGTACATTGGTGATCAGATGGGTATTGGAACACTGTATGACTGAAACCTAAAATTATGAAGAGCTTTGTAAAGATCCATTTCAGTGATTCAGTAATAAAATCTTTAAAAATATATACATAAAAATGTAATTAGACCAATCACAAATAAAAATTTTAAAAATATGTATGTCTGGGACCCTGCTTCATTGCTGGTGGGAATGCTGAATTGTTCAACCCTTTTGGAAAACAGTATGGATGATTCTCAAAAAATTAGAAATTGAGCTCCCATTTGACCCAGCAATACCACTCCTGGGAATATATCCTAGATAGGCAAAAAAGTATAGTCAAAGTGACATCTGCACTTGTTTGTTCATTGCAGCACTGTTTACAATAGCCAGAATCTGGAAAAAACCTGAGTGCTCGAGAACAGATGACTGGTTAAAGAAACTTTAGTACATCTACACAATGGAGTACTATGTAGCTGTTAGAAAAGATGAAGTCATGAAATTTACATACAAGTGGTACTACATGGAAAGTATCATGCTAAGCAAAATGAGTCAGAAAGAGAGGGATAGATATAGAAAGATTGCATTCATCTGGGGAACATAAAGTAACAAAATAGGAGACTAACACCCAAGAATAGCCAAAGTAAGTAGTACCAGGAGATTCACTCCATGCCTTGGAGGCCAACTGCACATGATAGGGGGTAAGGCAGCTCAGAGAGAGAAAGGAGCACCAAATAAAGAGGGTAGTGGGGATCCTCCCAGGATGGGAGAAGCATGCTGAAAGTAGACTACAGACTGAACATGACTGCCCCTCAATGCCTCTTTTGCAAACCACAGCACCCAAAAGGAGAGAGAGAACAAAAGGGAATGCCCTGCCAAAGAGGCAGGGTGGGATGGGAGGGTGGAGGGTGGGAGGGATACTGGGATCATTGATGGTGGAGAATGGGCACTGGTGGAGGGATGGGTACTCGATCATTGTATAACTGAAACCCAAGCACAAAAATTTGTAAGTCTATAACTGTACCTCATGGTGTTTCACTAATAAAAATTAAAAATATATATATATATATGTCTGAATCCATCAGTATATCCTGAGTTTTATACATCTATCTCCTCACAAACCAAGATTTAAATGATCCTATAACACTCCCACTGAGATAAAGGTAAGGTAAGGTAAAGGCCCTCCCGTTGATCGTCGATTTGTTCGAGCGGGCCCAGTAACGTCTCCATTGGAGACTTTGTTGTTACTGTGTCTGGCATATCGAATACTCTCGGTAGCTTGCCGGGCTCTCCGAGAGGGGCGGAGGAATCGAACTTGGGTCGGCCATGTTGGCCGCTTGTAAGGCAAACGCCCTACCCGCTGTGCTATCACTCCAGCCCACGGATTTATTGTGTATTCATTGTGATCCCACTGAGAAATTTGATAAATTTGATACCTATAATATCTTGTTTGGGAAAAATACATGAATTATAAACCAACATCAAAATATTTATTTACATGATAGAATCACGATATTAAAGAAAGCATCTGAGCTTTACACGACTTGCTTTTCAAAAGATTCATTTGAAAAGTCAAATACAATTAAAATTCTAGTTTTGATAGACAGTAAGAACAAAAGAAATCAAAGACTGTGTCACAATGTCAGTCACAAAACACTCTGAACTATCTCATTTCCACCTCACAAGCGAATGGAAACAGCCGAGAAGTTGTGACTCGTGACTCTTCTAATTTAGCCATCCTGGGAACAGCTTGTAAAGCAAACTAGTATAGGTCAAAACATGGGCGAGGCTGAGCTAATCAGAAACCGACAGTCCCAGCACAAACAAGTTAAATTGTAAGGCTCCAGAGGATCGGCGACCACAGATAGGTCGGAGTGCCCTGCGAAGACACTCACTGAATCAGGGAGAATTACTCCTCCCTGAAGACTGGACTCCCCAGGGAAAGAGGTGTACCCCATAATAGTTAATACATAACTTTTAAAGACATGTTTTAAACTGAGCAGAGATAATTTAAGAGTCATTATTTTTATATTCAATCTTGTTAAAGTTTTCCTCTGAAATAACCTATTCTGCAACAAGTTTATGTCCCTTACATGGTAAAAGTAATAATATATTATTAACTAGCACTTGCTGAGCTTCTACTCTGTGCCAAAAAATGTTCTAGGTGCTTCATACAAAACTTCATAAGGCCGCTCGACAAGGCAGGTTTTATTGGCACCGTTTTGTAGATTAGTGAACTGATGGTTAACTCAAGTTAAACTCTTCACAGTAGCACTAAACCCTTACACAGTAGCACTAAAAATTTTTTGGTAATGATACTAGAAAACAGTAGCATGCTATTCAAACAATGTGTTGATCCAATGAATAGTATCCTACCTATTTTTCTTTCCTACTAAAACAACATTCTTTGTTGGTCTGGTTCCATCTTTGGTTTTCGGCCACACCCAGCTTTACTCAAGGACACTCCTGGGGGTGTCTGGGGACCATGGGGTTCCAGAGATCAAATATTAGTCTCTTCCATATAAAGCATGCACCTCAGGCCTTTCTTTTGGCTCAAAAGCAATTTAAACATTTTGGTGATTACTAAAAAAAGTGCAAAGCCATTGAAAACATCTACAATTCAACTAATACAGTAGTAATGTTAACTTGACCTTAATTCAATAGTTCGGCAAATTCTTAAAAACAGTTAAGAAGTGCCAAAACTTATAAAATACTAAGATTTTAAAAATTTGAGTGCAGTTTTCTTAAGACATTTATTCAAGCACATTCACTAAGAAAACAGGAATGCTTCAAGTTAGAGATAATTAGGCTTTTTAAAAAAGTTATGCTCAAATGTCAAACAGTCCCTATCAGGGTCTAAAAACCTCACTTGAAAAGAAAAACTTAACCTAGTGAAAGCTGTGCGTAGCATATCAAAAATTCCTTATAAATTTTTACTTAACTTCTTAAATAGAAAAAGGAAGCTGAAGAGCAGATGAAAGATGTAATCATTTTACATAATAAAAATAATTTTAATTAATATAACTTAAATGTTCCCTACTTAAATTCCCTACCTTAGGCCCTCATCTAGAGAGCAAATAATTAGCATCCTAGCAAGCATTTATCAAGGCTGATGTTTAGAATTCAAGTTTAAAAACATATTTAATAATCTTATATTTTTCTCAATATATTAGTAAAGCAAACATTTAGCAGTAGGTAGGCTTTAAGAGATATGATAGAGGGTGTTGTTTAACTTTTTAAAAGCTTCTAATTTCTTAGAAATCTGTTAGTAAACTTTAAAGATGTTAAGTTTTTGTAAAGCCTTTATTTCCACAGAAGAATGTTTAAAATAAATATCCCACATCTAAATTGTTTAATAAGTGTATCATTTTAAAAGCTCAGCATTTTAATAATTAAGACCTGCTTAAGGAAATAATACTGAGACTTGATACCAAAAAAATAGTGTAGGAAAAGAAAAATTAGATACCATTATTTTAAGCTTTTTTTTTTTTTGCTGTCTAATAAAACTCATGACTTTTTGAATCAGAGAAATAAAACCTGAAGCAAAAGGAGAAGAAACTCAACTAACTATTTCATTCCTACCAAATACATAAACTCAGGATTAAGGTCACAGCCCTAAAAATAAAGAGGGCCTACCTTGGAGGTGATCCACTTGATAAGAACTAAAGCCAGACACCAGATCAATGTCATTCCCATTGGATCAGTCAAAAGCCCACTACATAATCTCCGTCGTCCCCGAGCGCAATGAGCACAGAAGCCTTGTTAGGAGTGTGATAAGCACCAGCTGTCCGAGGCAGAGGCAGTTGAAGGAACACTGACTGCCTTGAACCTCGGGCAGCTGCCCTCCAACCAGGATCACCTGACTGTCCCGAGAAAGCACTGCCAACAGGCCTCCCCTGGCGTGTGCTTAACGTCACAGCCCTGGGCTGGGGTAGAATGGTGCGAGTAATCTTGTTAAAGAAAGGACAAGACCTCAGCCAGGGCTGACCTAACATCGTCACTGAATAGAGCTAAAAGACAGTCTAGGCACAACCAGTGTTTTAAAAGAACTTAAAAAAAAAACAACAACAACAACAACAAAAACTTGGCTGTACTAAAAGTTTCTTCAGGTCTTGCACACAAATCATCTTCACAAGTGCAATACCCTTGCATCTGAAAATAGTAATGCATTTTAGTCTCTCTTTTCAACTTTTAACTTGGGATTTAACCTTTTATTTCCTTTAGAGCTAGAATGACTTTTGAGTATTAGAGGTTTTCATGAGTTTTATCTGAGTCACTAAACATAATTCACTCATTTAGACCTATCGAAAAGGCTAATCTAGCTAGCACTTTCAAGTAATTGAAAGCTGATTATTTCTCAGCCTCACTTACATCAAGTTAGCGGAGAATTTGGGAGGCTTCCCAGCACAGCTCTGGACCCAGGGGCTAAACCCGGCTGTGCTGGGGGGGGGGAGGGGCAGGGAGGGGGCATGTTGTGCCAGGGATAGAACTTGGGGTTTTGTGCAATCTATAGTATTTTTAATACAGGCCCCATTCTTCTCTTGACTGTGAATGAGCTCCTCAAATTCATTTATTTTCATGACCCCTCACAGCAACTAGCTGCCTGTAAGAAGTATTGCTGAGAAAATAGTGCTTCATGAAACTTCTTTCAAGTATACAGAAACAGGTATTAAACACTAAGTACCAGGTCCTGTGCTACACAGCAGGGACATACCCACACAGAATCCAGATACGGCTCCTATCCTTATAAAGGTTACAGTTTTCCACCAGTCTTAAGCAAAGCACGCCACTGCAAGTGTAACTGTGTAATATGAAGTGCAATAGGAAGCCGAGACTGGAATACCATCTAGCTGGAATCTAACCTAGTTAAACGGCTTTTACTCAGAGACCCTGAAATTACCCAGAGCTGAAGTGAAGCTGCAAGAACATGAAGAAGACCGGAAGAACAGTCTCACCAACCCAATCAGAGTGTGGGAGAAGGGAAGAGGAGCAGGAGGGAGAGAACAGGGATGAGGGGGGAGCCCAAGAAGGAACTGTTTTCATCCTGAAGCCTATTGCTACACTGCAGGTTGCGGTTGTAGAGTGAGATTGGGGAGCCCAGGAATACTTCACACTTTTCCCCTCCACTCACCTGCCTACAGCCAATTCTTTTTTTTTTTTTACAGCCAAGTTTTGAGAAGCAAATACTGTCACTATCTGTCACTGTCCTCCCATTGTTCATCGATTTGCTCGAACAGGCCCAGTAACATTGTGAGACTTGTTACTGTGTTTGGCATATCAAATACGTCACAGGTAGCTTGCCAGACTTTGCTGTGCGGGAGAGTTACTCTCGGTAGCTTGCCGGGCTCTCCGAGGGGGCGGAGGAATTGAACTCGGGTTGGCCGTGTCGGTCGTGTGCAAGCCAAATACCCTACCCGCTGTGCTACTGCTCCAGCCCAATGCTGCTATTTTGGTACAATACTTAAATATTTTTATGAAAGTCTTTTGCATAGCATCCAGCTCAAAATATGCACTTCTCTTACTCTAAGGAAGTTGAAAAAAGGATGAGAAGAAGTCAAAATTGAGTGACATAAGTAGAAAAAAATTAAGGCAGTCCTGGAAGTTCTCTCATTCAAATGCATTTACAGGAGATTATATTTCCAATCTCTAAACTCTACTGGGTCTGGAGACAAGGGTCCAGATTTATTTTCCAGATTTACAGCCCCGAGTTGAGTGACCCTGTGCAGCCAGCCTATCACCTCCTGGATTTTATCTTCCTCCCCTGCACTGGAGCTAAGAAACACCTACAGAAAGAACACCTGGATCATTCTAGGCTCTCCAACTTTTGTAGATTCAAATACTTAAGATCTAAAAATGATAACCTAACCGGATGCTAAGAATGTCAAGCCCTAACTCCTCCAGCTCACCTTGCCTGTAGGCCGCAATGAAATCACAGCACTCCCTAGGGGAGTCTGTACTAGTGCCCTGGAGAAACTGCAGAGCCCAGGAAAGGATGGGGTCTTGGCCTTCACTTTTCAGCTGAGGAACAGCTTCCAAAGCACAAATATTTCCTAAATATTGCTCTCCCTGCATCTACTTTTTAAATTGTTAACTGTGTGTCTGACACAATCCTTCCAAATAAAAAAAAAATTCCTACTTGAATAAAAATAAATATCAAATTACCAAGACTGTATCTACAAATAAATATCATTGCTAATGATGTGTTTATATTTTTCTTCTTTTAATTTTTTTTTTTTTTACTGCCAGCAGTGGGGATCAAATCCAGGGCCTCATACATGCAAGGCATGCACTCTTATTTTGACATATATTTATTACCAACTTATCTTAATGAATTACAAGCTTTAATATAAAGTTTTCAATGAGAAGCAATAAAAGATGTTCTTGAATTAGGCTGATCGTATACTTACAGTATTACTGTATTTTAAAAATCCACTAAAAATTAATCTTTCCAGAATCACATAATATATAATCCTATGCATAAAGATTAATAATTTTAATATAATTATATAATATATGATAAAAACATAATAAGCAATATTTAACATATTAGAATAGATTATATATTATATAACCATATAGTATAATGATATATAATTATGTTCTACATAATAATTATAATAATAATATATAATCATGTGCATAAAATTTATGCACATCAAGGGGTGGGGAGATAGCTGGGGGTATAGTATTTGCCTTGCCTGTATGAGGTCATGGAGTCCACCCTTGGCACTCAGATAAAGGAACAACTACCTATTTCACATTAGTAACAAATGTATTTATTTACATCTAGCTTCTTATAGCTATTTCCCAGAGACCAAGGCAAAAGGCACAATAACAAAAAGAAATCATTAGACGATGCTAGAAAAAGTACAAAGTATACAGCTAAAGTTTTGAAAATGGAATTTGACACTAAAAGAAAACAAAACATTTTACCTTCAGGGTAGTCATAAGACCAGTACCCGAAAAATTTAAAATTCTAGCAAGAAGACATCATAATTTTCAGGAGCATTGTTGATAGCAAGAAAAGTTTAGACTTTGATCATTGTGTCTTACAGAAGTAATTCAAGTGCAAAGTTTTATCCCTGGGGCTCTCTGCCACTCACAGAACACCTGTCAATCTTGGCAATAACCTTCCGGCTCCATATAGAGACTCAGCATGTCCCTCTCTTGGCCAAATTAGGCTAGCCTCATCTGCATTGACATCAGTGTCCATAATTTTGGAATCTCATGGACAGAAATAGCCTGACAGTTCCTTATACAAATGTTGTGTCAAAAGAAAAGTAGAAACAAATTTGTAATAGAAAAAATGTGAAGCCTAGATTAAATACCCTCCAGTCATGCTTTTAGCATTTTGAATTTCAGTCAAATTTACTAACAAACCAGGGAATGCTTTTGTTTGTTTCTACATATAGCGAGGTTATTCAAAGGTATGAATTTCAAGAGAGATAGTATCCAAAATATTAAGCTTTGATAACCAAAACTGTTTCAAACCTGTACTAAATTTGGAGGTTTTACCAGTCAAGAACTCTGTGGGTGGGGGTAGGGGACTGTGTCAGGCTGATTTAAGTTCTGAATAAAGTTTTTGTTAATACTGTTATCCAGGCTGTTGATGGCCTACAGGATATGAAAGTGATTCAACCATAACTGTAGTAAAAGCATCATGATATTTTCTAAATATTGATGCTTTCTGGTCCAGAAAACTATATCATGATAACAAAACAAACACACACTGTCCTCCCTGTGTTCATCGATTTGCTCAAGTGGGCCCAGTAACAAGTCCATTTTGAAACTTGTTGTTACTGTGTTTGGCATATCAAATACATCATGGGGAGCTTGCCAGGCTTTGCCCTGCGAGCAAGATACTCTCAGTAGCTTGCTGGGCTCTCAGAGAGGGACAGAGGAAGTGAACCCGGGTCAGCCGGGTTGGCCTCATGCAAGGCAAACACCCTACCGCTGTGCTATTGCTTCAGGACAGTCCATCTTTATCAATGTCACTGTCCTCCAGTTGTTCATCGATTCGCTCGAGCAGGCCCAGTAACATCTCCATCGTGAGACTTTGTTGTTACTGTGTTTTGGCATATCGAATACGTCACGGGGAGCTTGCCAGGCTCTGCCGTGCGGGCGAGATACTCTCGGTAGCTTGCCGGGCTCTCCGGGAGGGCCGAAGGAATCGAACCCGGCTTGGCCGGGCTGGCTGCGTGCAAGGCAAATGCCCTACCGCTGTGCTATCTTGCAGGCACCACAACTGAAAAAAGATGCTTGAGCACACAAGCCAGGAGCTCCACAACTAGGCTGGTATGTCACCCCCAGTCCCTGCAACATCGACAGAGGGGAAGGAAAGGGGAAAAGGGAAAATTTAAGATCATAAAGACCATAAAGACCTGTATGATTGGGAAATGGCTCTGTGGTAGTAAGTGCCCACAGCTCACACGTTGGGTCATGGAAGAGAAGGAGAGGCGGAGAGAGGGAGATGGAGAGAAACAAAGAGTTGCTTACTGAAGCACTATTCACAGTACTTCTTGAAATTATGGAAAAATGAAAATGATCAGTTTCCATAATGAAATAAAACCAATGGTGTAAGAATCCACAACTGTCTACTTGGAAGCCATGTAATAGATAAATGGGAAGGGTTAGGCTGCTGTTCGATTAGATCAGGAGACCGTCACAGAACAGAGCAGAGCATTTAGCAAGGCCCAAGCAGTGTCTGGGGACATCTCAAAGCAACGTAAGCCCCAAACTGGAGTTAGGCAAACTCCTAGCTCTCCAAATGCACATACCCGGAAAAGAAGTACTTGAAACTAGCGAAGGAATTCAAGAGGTTGCTAAAA